GGTCCCCCACGCGGCCGCGACCGACGGAAATTCGGAAATCAGCGTTTCGGGGACGAATCCGGGGCGGGCGACTCACTGAGACCAGGCTCGGACGGTCTCCCCAGCGGAGTTCCCGCACGCCACACCCTCCTCCCCACCCGGGTCTCCGCTCTTCCCTCCCGCCTCGGCGGCTTGGCGGGCCGGCGGGCCACGGCCTCTCCGCGAGCCCCCGCCCCAGGTCCCCAGGTCCCCAGGTCCCCAGGTCCCCGGCCCGCGCCCGGCACTGCGGGGCTCGCCCGCGGGCCTGGGGAGCGGCTGCCCGGACTCACTCACCCCGCTCGGCTCGGCCGCGGGCTCCGTCCTCTTCGGCCCGGGCTGGGCCGCCGCCACCTTACGCCGCTTCACGGGGAGCGCCCGCCCCGCGGCCCCGGCCCGGCCGGCTGCGCCCCGCGCGCCCCCGCCGCCTGCTGGCCCCGGGCGAGCGGCAGGGCCCTGGCGGGCATTGCTCCCGGGCGTCGCGGGCGGGCGGCGGCGGCGCACGTGCTGACAGGCGGCTCTCGCTGCGGCGGCCGCGGGCTGAGGAGGAAGCGCCCAGCGGGCGGGCTGCCGGGGCCGGCTGGACAGCTCTACGCTGCTGCGGCGCCGCCGTACCCGGCGCGCCCCAGCTGCCGCTGCTGCCCGCGCGCGCCGGGCCGGGCTCGCATTCCCTCAGTGGCGGCGGCGCCTCCTCAGGCCGCGCGGGGGAGCGGCGGCGGCGGCGGGCGCGCGTCCCTGCGGAGTCCCGGCCCGGCCCGGCCCCGCCGCCTCCGCCGGAAGAAACCTCTCCGACTCGGGCAGCTCGCCTGGCTCCTCAGCCGCGCTGCGGCGCCCCCGCTCCTCCCCGGCTCGCCAGTGTCCTCAGGCCCCGGGACTGGACTCGGGGGCGGCGGCGCGGGTCCCCGGCTCTTCGCCCACAGTCCGCAGCAGCCGAGCGCACTCGGAAGCGGGAACCGGCCGACTTGAGGTCACTGTGACTCTTAAAACAGCCTCATTTTAAAAAATGAAGTTTCTTAGGAGTGAAATGGCAAACCAGGAAGGCAGAGCGCGGCCGGCAGCTCACCGAAGCCCAGCCCCAGGCGTAGTGCTCGCCACACGCCGGGTCCGCGCTCTCCCCTCAGGAACCCGGGGCCGCGGCCCAGGGAACGGCAGAGCCGGGAGTGCAGCCGCCTCGGTCCCCACCTCAGGGAGGAGCTGGAATAGAGTCACGAACAGCTTCATCCCGAAGATCCGGCACGACAGGGCTCTCTAATGTGAAAACCAGAGCACCGGGAGGGCGCCTGGTGACATTCCTTAAAAACATGAGGTGTTTGTTAGGTTGAGCCAGGGTGGACTTGTTTGGCAAAATCTGAAGTCATGGAACTAAACAGGGCACACCTAAAACTTAGTGATGGGAGACCCAACCCTACTATCACCTTATAAGGCTGAGGAGACTGCGGTGCTCCCGTGGAGGGGCGAGGACAAGCTAAAATTAAGGCGGCCGAGATGCTCCCAGATGGAGCCGGGAGGCCGAGCCCCTGGCGGCTGCTCACCTCCTGGGGTCAGGGCAGAACCCAGCGGCACGAGCCAGGAAAGCCACCGTTCCCGACTCGCCTCCAGATGTCCGTGACCATGACCCCGCCGAGGCGGGCCAAGGCGTCCCATCGTCATCTAGAACCCCTCAACTCTTTCCCTCCACTAAGAGGTGCCCTAGGATCCATCCAGAAAGATCTGCTGAGCCCACAGAGCCCCAGAGGGAACTGTGCCCCTGGCTAGACACCCCTTAATCCGTAACTCGAGGACTTCTCTATGCCTGGGACTTCACATCACAACCAACCTGCTCCCGCAGCCAGCCAGCGGGAATAAACACACGAAGGTCACACGCCAGTTCACAGCCACGAGTATTTATTGAGTGCTTATGGTGCAAGAGAAAGATGGTCCCTGCTCCCGCGGAGCTTACAGCCTGATGACTCTAGGATCTGGCTAGATTCAGAAACAACTGCAGCAAGCACTTGTCTACCCACCAGCAGCACTGTATAAAGCACATTTTTCACATTATCGGTCACTGTTACAGTGAAATTGTTAGATGTGAGTAAATATTAACCTTGAAATCTGTAGTCATAGAGATGACATGGTATGTAATGTCCAGCAAATGCACATTTATGGCTTTATTCCTCACATATCTGAGGGGTCTATGGAAATAAAGCACAAATCAGGCAGAAAAGACTTAGTAACTAACACAGGTCCTAAGAATACTGGGGTAGTTTATTATCAAACTACCATAGAACTCTTGGCAGGGCAGGAAACTATTTCCAGCAAAATTTGTGCGATATAGTGGGTTTAATCAAACCTGAAACTGTCAACCATTTACCTGTCCCTCACGACAGGTAAATATAATCTACCTGTATGAATCCTAAAAGGCTACAGGTGTGCATTTATTTTTTAAAGCTTCTTAAAGACTCCTAGCACAAGTGACACACTGAAATCTAGCAGAAACTTCTGAGATATCTTAAAATTAAAGTGACAAGTGTCTGCTTTTACTACATATGTAGGTGCAAAGTTCAGAATTCAAACACCATCCATCAAAGCACGTGGCTTTTCTGGGTTAGAAGGGGACACTTTCTGGTTGGCTATCACAGGCTAAGTCCTAGGCTCCACGTACATCTCCTCACGCCCACTGGGAGGCACTTCCAATGTGTGGTTCTGCTCACAGGCCATCACCTTTAGAAGAGGCAATTATTTGGAGGATACTGGCAATAACTTTTAGGAAAACAGCCTATATTTATATCAAATAATCCCCAAGTCACCAATTGAGACCAAAGTGCTTTCTCAATTTACACTTGACAGGTTTAAAATTTTTTAAGTTTTTGATCCTTAAAAGAAAAAAACAAACCACACACACCAGAGGGAAGGCTCAATTTAAACTCCACAAAAAGCTTATGTTTTTTGCAAAGGTTGAAGAGAACATCTTAGACCACCAAACAGAAATGTCAGTCCAAGGCAGTTAAGTCAACTACTTGGGACATAATCTACTTTATTTTAAAAAGTATGCTACCTCAAGGCTGGGCTCGGTGGCTCATGCCTAGTAATCCCAACACTTTGGGAGGCCAAGGCGGGCGGATCATTTGAGGTCAGGAATTCAAGACTGGCCAACATGGTGAGAACCCGTCTCTACTGAAAATACAAAAATTAGCTGGGCATGGTGGTGCACACCTGTAATCCCAGCTACTGGGGAGGCTGAGGCAGGAGAATGGCTTGAACCTGGGAGACAGGTTCCACTTAGCCAAGATGGCACCACTGCACTCCAGCCTAGGCAACAGATAGAGCTAGACTTTATCACAAAAAAAAAAAAAAAGGTATGCTCCATCAAAAGCTATTAACTCAATGAATCTGAAATGTAGTATTTCTTGAGCACTTACTAAGTACCAGGCACTTTACAAAAGCTTCCTTAATGAAAGGAGTTTTCTTATTTCATCTTATAGCTGAGGAAGGCAGGCCTGTGCTAGGATGTGACTAGGTCTCTCTGGCTTCAAGTCTCTCCTCTCTTGTCCTGAGCCCAGCTCTGCACAGCCCCAGCTGTGCACTTTAGCTACATCTGCTGCTGCTTCAGTTGGAAAAGTCCTTCAGTCCCAAAGGCCATTTCCATACCTCAGGAGTAGCTCCTGCAAAGAGGCTTAAAAATGGAAAGGAAGGAGGCAGATCCAGGCATCAGGAGAGAGTTCACTTTCTATTTGCATTTTAGAAGGCACTTCGCAGAAGTGGCAGATTTGCTTAGGTTTTTGTTTTTTACTATTAATACCTGCAGCACAGCCCCAAACCAACAACAAAAATAGTTTACCTCCCTGGAATAATAGAATTCTAAAATGCTATTTAGAATTGCCATCTTTCCTACTTTTGAGTGTTTTTTCAGTTGAGTGTTCGTAAGATAAGCATTACCAAAGGGAAAGATAGCAGAAAGAATTTTCCTTAGTTTCCCTCTTCACAGCTATGAAGAAAAAATAAACTTTTTAAAAATAAGTGACTGATAGTTCCAATCTATTACACACTTCAAATATCAAAGCATATGCTTTCTAAGAGAGAGGTGCAGAAGATGTTTTGATGGAGCTTAACGCCTTTTTTGGAATAAGCCAATATAGGCTACTAAGAAGATAATTCCTTGGCAAGATAAAACTATCATCTCTTCTGAAATGGCATTTTTTTTTTATTCTTAAGAATGTAGTAGAGTTTACAATAAAAGTAGAGAACAAGGAAATATCCTAACAATTTAGTTTTTGTCATGTCCAGGAACATATTAAAGTTGGTCTTACTAGGTCCTGACACAGCTGTACCGGAGCTTTATTAAAATGAATGTTTTTTTAACCATGTCTAGATTTTTTTTTTAAGGCTAGAAAACCAAGAATAAAGAATACCAAGAATAGACTGGGTATAGTGGCTCATGCCTGTAATACCAGCACTTTGGAGGACCAAGATGGATGGATCACATGAGGTCAGGAGTTTGAGACCAGCCTGGCTAACATGGTGAAACCCTATCTCTACTGAAAAAAAAAAAAAAAAATAGGCCGGGCGCGGTGGCTCAAGCCTGTAATCCCAGCACTTTGGGAGGCCGAGGCGGGTGGATCACGAGGTCAAGAGATCGAGACCATCCTGGTCAACATGGTGAAACCCCGTCTCTACTAAAAATACAAAACATTAGCTGGGCATGGTGGCACGTGCCTGTAATCCCAGCTACTCAGGAGGCTGAGGCAGGAGAATTGCCTGAACCCAGGAGGCGGAGGTTGCGGAGAGCTGAGATCGCGCCATTGCACTCCAGGCAGGGAAAAAAGAGGAAAACCTCCGTCTCAAAAAAAAAAAAAAAAAAAAATACACACACACACACACACACACACACACACACACACACACACACACAATTAGCCTGGCGTGGTGGGAGGTGCCTGTAATCCCAGCTACTCGGGAGGCTGAGGCAGGAGAATTGCTTGAACCCAAGAGGCAGAGGTTGCAGTGAGCTGAGATTGCTCTATTACACTCCAGCCTGGGAAACAAGGGGAAAACTCTGTCTTAAAAAAATAAATAAAGGCACTTGATTCTAATTATAAGTAATTTTGATTAGCCTGAAGTCTTCAAAAGTTGCAAGAGTAGGGAGCAAAGACAGGCCGTCCTCCTTGCTAAGAAGGGAGCAGGCCTGTGGTGAAACTCAGGTGAAGGACACTCAAAGATCATTTGAGATCCTGCTTGGAATAACTGAGATGGCTTGGTTCAGTCTAACTACTTATTATTAAGAGCCACATAAGGAGGAAAAGCTCAAAAGCAAACCAAAATTTAAAACATGAGCATGTTTAGTACAAATTCACTTTGAAAGTTTGGATGAATTTGTTTATCAACATTGTACTAAGCTGGAATATGTGGGGCACTGTGTTCTTCCGACTGGCTGCCAAAAAGTTTATAGCTACACAGCTCCAATTTAACCAGCAGTCCCAACACAAACCTGCCAATGCTCCTGGATCAGAGAGCCTCCTGCCCACACACTACTTCTGAGAGCCAGTGGCTACCACAGAGGCAGTGGGCTGGAGCACTCTGCAAAGCCAAGGGGAAGGCACCAGGCTCCATCCAGACACACTCCCTGTCCATTAACAAATATAGTAGATTGTGATGATCTAAAGCATAGTGTTCTTACAGCACCTACAATGGAAGTATTTATTTCTCTTTTTGGCCAGGATGAAAGGGCCTGGAAAGGGGTGAACATGTCCAGATGACAACTCTGACAGACAGCTGAAGTCATACACGCTAAGAAAACCAGGCTGTTCTCTTAATCCCTCACGGGGTGGCGGGCTTGTATTTCAAAGGGTTTATCTGTCCATTTATTGTCCAGGGTGGGACACAAGTTAATTCAGAACAATGGCCAGAGAGCTATATGCCTCTCCAATTGTTTAAATTTTTTAGAAAGATAAAATTAGAGAATTACAATCCCTCTCATTTTTCTTACAAACAATAAAGTTTAAAGAAAACGAAATAAGTTATATTCACAGTTTTCAAAGCTTTCCAATAGTCCATTATTACTATGCTGATATTCACTCTAAGACATGTTTCAAATAGGAATCGCATTATCATTTTTTAAAAACCTGAACACAACTGAAATCCAAGATACACTGTAATTGTTTTTTTATGTATTCAACGTCTAATAGTCTATCATTAGGGAAGCTATTAAGGTTTATTTATTTATTTTTTTTAAGACAGGGTTTCACCTTGTTGGTCAGGCTGGTGTTGAACTCCCAACCTCAGGTGATCCGCCTGACTTGGCCTCCAAAATGCTTGGATTACAGGCGTGAGCCACCACGCCCAGCCCTTAAGCTTTATTTTTTTAAAAATGAATCGTATTTACAATGTAGAACAAGTTTATAAAATTGGTGTGCAAAGTTAATTGTAAAAGGATAACACTATTTGTTTAGAAACAAGCTGCCTCCCCACTTACATTTTCTTATTGATATAAATTGGAGACATATACTATTTAAAAATAATACTTTTTAAATAGTAAAATATACAAGAGATTCCTGAGCATAACAAAAATATCTTGAAAATATGTGGCCATTTGAAGTATAAAATAGCAAGTGTAAGAATAGCATGATTGTAAAACTACTGTTTGAAGGCCTATAAACAGTACAAAATAGTTTGCCTTTTCTGACTGCATAATTATACATTAGTGCAAACAAAAACATCTCAAAATTTAATGGCTACAAATCTCAAAGGTTTGCAGAGGTGCGCAAAACATGGAATTTCTTTAGCGTCATGCGAACTGAGCCCAGTTCTCGGTTAATCTTTTCCAAACGATCTTCCAAGGCTTCCTAGATGAAAACAATGGGAAAAGTTTAATTTTTCTGCATCAAGTTCTATAATCACCACCAAACTGACCTTTCTTTTAGCAAAAGAGCAAGTATAAACATTAAAATTACAATTATTTTTTTGCTTTCAACACAAATCATCTTATGACTTCTTTTCAGCTGAACAATATAAACCAGCTTTTCAACCATTCAAAATAACTGCTGCACTTTAAAGCATTCTCAGTATGTTTGGCACATGGAGTATATGGAAACTCTAGTAATAGCAATACAACCAACTGGAAGGGGATAATTCTTTGGCTCTGCTGAAGTGAGAACAGTACAAGAGAAGCCCAGGAGGGGCTTCACGCATTTTACCAGAAGAAACGGACACATCTGATCAGTGCTGCATCCCACACATACATACATAGATCAAATAACTTTCTCCTCAACAAAATTTCTAAGTTAAAAAGGAAAAAAACAAAAAACACTGAAGGATAATTTTCTAAAAAAAAAAAAAAAAAAAAAAAAAAAAAAAGATTTGACAATGAATTGACCTAACAATTGCTATTTTAAAATCAACAATATTACTGTTAAATAGTACCTAGACTATATATCATTATAAATACTTTTGTGTTTTTGTTGAGACAGGGTCGTCCTCTGTCACCCAAGGCTGGACTGCAGTGGCACGATCATAGCTTACTATAGCCTCAAACTCCTGGGCTCCAGCAATCCTCCCACCTCAGCCTCTCGAGTATCTGAAACTAAAGGCAGGCACCACCATATCTGGCTGATTTTAAACTTTTTTTTTTTTTTTAGAGACAAGGTCTCACTATGTCACCCAGGCTGGTCTTGAACTCCTGGCCTCAAATGATCCAACCACTTCGGCCTCCCAAAGTCCTGGGATTATAGACATAAGCCACCGAACCCAGCTTTATTTTAGATAATTTATTCAGTATTAATTCCAATGGTGTCCTGAAATAAAGCTTAAATTTTTTCTTTAGCTTTAATTACAAAAGGATTCATTATAAAACGCTTAGAATATAGAAAATTTAGAAGACAAATAAGCAAAAGGAAATAACTGTTCCTCTTTCCTATTTTTTTCTGCATACATATATATGCATATCACTTTTTTTTCTTTTTTTGGTGGGGAGATGGAGTCTCGCTCTGTCACCCAAGCTGGAGTGCAGTGGCACAATCTTAGCTCTCTGCAACCTCTGCCTCTTGGGCTCAAGCAATTCTCCTGCCTCAGCCTCCTGAGTAGCTGGGATTACAGGAGCCTACCACCATGCCTGGCTAATTTTTATATTTTTAGTAGAGACAGTGTTTCAACATATTGGCCAGGCTGGTCTTGAACTCCTGACCACAGATGATCTGCCCACCTTGGCCTCCCAAAGTGCTGGCATGAGCCACTGCACGCATACCATTTTTAAAAAGAAAAATAAAGCCAAGCATGGTGGCTCATGCCTGTAATCCCAGCACTTTGTGAGGCCAAGGTGGGAGAATCACTTGCGGCCAGAAGTTCGATACAAGCCTGGGCAACACAATGAGGCCCTGCCTCTACAAAAAAATTTTAAAAATTAGCCAGGTGTGGTGGTACATGCCTGTAGTCCTAGCTACTCAAGGGGCTGAGGTGGGAGAACTGCTGGAGCCTCAGAAGTTAAGACTACAGTGAGCTATGATTGTGCCAATGCACTTTAGCCTGAGTCAGAGTGAGACCATGTCTCAAAAAAATTAAAAAAGAAACCGGCCAGGCATGGTGGTTCACAACTGTAATCCCAGCACTTTGAGAGGCTAAGGCAGGTGGTTCACGAGGTCAAGAGTTTGAGACCAGCCTCACCAACATGGTGAAACCCCATCTCTACTAAAAATACAGCCAGGAGTGATGGCGCACACCTGTAATCCCAGCTACTCAGGCGGCTGAGGCAGGAGAATTGCTTGAACCCTGGAGTCGGAGGCTGCACTGAGCCGAGATTGCGCCACTATACTCCAGACGGTCTTCTGGGCGACAGAGAGAGACTGTCTCAAAAAAGAAAGAAAGAAAGAAAGAAACCTAAGAAGAGAATCAAACTCTATTTCAAATTTTGTTGTTGTTGTTGTTGTTTTGTGAGACAGAGTCTCACTCTGTTCCCCAGGCTAGAGTGCAGTGGCACAATCTTGGCTCACTGCAACCTCCACCTCTCGGGTTGAAGCGAACCTCCTGCCTCAGCCTCCGAGTAGCTGAGATTATAGGCGCACTACCACAACTGGCTAACATTTTTGTATTTTTAGTAGAGACAGCATTTCACCATGTTGGCCAAGCTGGTCTCGAACTCCTGACCTCAAGTGATCTGACTGCCTCAGCTTCCCAAAGTGCTGGGATTAGAAGCATAAGCCACTTGCCCGGCCTCAAAATATCTTTCAATTAGGCCGGGCATGGTGGCCCACAGCTGTAATTCCAGCACTTTGGGAGGCTGAGGCAGGCGGATCACTTGAGGTCAGGAGTTCAAGACCATCCGGGCCAAGATAGTGAAACCCCCATCTCTACTAAAAATATAAAAATTAGCCGGGCAAGGTGGCACTTAAACCCGGGAGGTGGAGGTTGCAGTAAGCCAAGATTGAGCCACAGTACTCTGGCCTGAGAGGGAGAGTCAGTCTCAAAAAACAAAACAAAAAAAATCTTTCAATTGAACTTTTCATGTTATAAAATACCCTTGTATAACATTCTTTTAAGTTAATATACAATATTCCATCAGCAGTAACATATTTAACCAAGAATCTTTTAGTAGAAATTTGGGTTGCTTCTAATTTTGGATATCATAAATAAGGCTGCAATAAAGTTCTTAAACATATCTCTTTGCACATATAAGTACTGCCTTAGGAATCATTCCCAGAAATAAAAATGCCAGGTCCAAAGAAATGCAAATTTCTAAGGCTCTGGATATATGTCAAGTTGTAACCCAGGATGTTTGAGACAATTTCTACTTCCACCTGCAGTGTATGAAGATAAGCTCTTCTCCATCCCAAAACCTTTTTCTTAAAAAAAAAAAAAAAAAAAAAAAACCTGCCATGGCCGGGCGTGGTAGCTCATGACTGTAATCCCAGCACTTCGGGCAGCCAAGGGGGGGCAGATCATCTGAGGTCAGGAGTTCGAGACCAGCCTGGTCAACATGGCAAAACCCCATCTCTACTAAAAATACAAAACATTAGCTGGGTATGGTAGCACACTCCTGCAGTCCTAGCTACTTGGGAGGCTGAGGCATGAGAATCACTTGAACCCGGGTGGTGAAGGTTGCAGTGAGCCGAGATGGTGACACTATATTTCAGTCTGGGCATCGCAACAGGACTCCGTCTCCACCCGCCCCCCTGCCCCCTGCAAAAAAGAAAGAAAAAAATACTGTGTGCTAATGTTATGGCTAAAAAAAGAAAAACAAAAAAACCTGCCAAAGTTATAGGTTTTTAAAAGGTGTGGGGCTGTCTTGGCTAATCTTTTTTTTGTAGAGACAAGGTTTCATTATGTTGCCCAGGCTGGTCTCAGACTCCTGGGCTCAAGCCATCCTCCCATCTCTCCCTCCCAAAGGGCTGGGATTACAAGCATGGGCCACTATGATTACAGGCATGAGCCCAGCCATGGTGTTTTTTTGTTTTGTTTTTTGCTTTTTACAGAGACAGGGTTTCACTCTGTCACTCAAGCTGGAGGGCAGTTGTGTGATCATAGCTCACTGCAGCCTCAAACTCCTGGCTTCAAGAGATCTTCCCGCCTTGGCCTCCCAAAGTGCTAGGATTAAAGGTGCGAACCACTGCATCTGGCCCAAGAAAGATGTTTAAACGTGTATCACTTTTATTCATTAGTGAGACTGATAACTTTTCATCTTTTGGCCCAGTTTATGAATCACACAAGAGCATCATCAGCCCCTTGTTGCTGCTACTTGTCTTCTTACTGAATTGAAACAGTTTTTAGCCTAATGCCTTTTAAGTCTCATTTTCTTTTTTTTTTTTTTTTGAGACAGAGCCATTCTCTGTCACCCAGGCTGGAGTGCAATGGTGCAATCTCGGCTCACTGCAACATCTGTCTCCCAGATTCACGTGATTCTCCTGCCCTAGCCTTCCAATCAGCTAGGATTATAGGTGCGTGCCACCACACCCAGCTAATTTTTGTATTTTTAGTAGAGACGGAGTTTCAACATGTTTAGTCAGGCTGGTCTCCAACTTCTGACCTTGTGATCTGGCCGTCTCAGCCTCCCAAAGTGCTAAGATTACAGGTGTGAGCCACTGCACAGGACACTTTTTTTTTTTTTTTTTTTTTTTTTTTTTAAGATGGAATCTTGCTCTGTCACCCAGGCTGGAATCCAATGGTGCAATCTCAGCTCACTGAAACCTCCGTCTCCTGGGTTCAAGTGATTCTCCTTGCCTCAGCGTCCCAAGTAGCTAAGATTACAGGTGTGCACCACCATGCCCGGCTAATTTTCGTATTTTTAGTAGAGACAGGGTTTTACCGTGTTGCTCAGACTGGTCTCAAACTCCTGATCTCAGGTGAGCCACCATGCCCGGCCCCCATTAAGTCTTATTTTGAGAGTCAGAACAAATTTATGCTATTCATTATATAAAAACATATTGGCCAGAACTTTGGGAGGCCAAGGCAGGCAGATCACCTGAGGTCTGGAGTTCGAGACCAGCTGGACTGACATGGAAAAACCCCGCCTCTACTAAAAATACAAAATTAGCCAGGTGTGGTGGTGCATGCCTGTAAACCCAGCTACTCAGGAGGCTGAGAATCACTTGAACCTGGGAGGTAGAGGTTGCAGTGAGCCAAGATTGTGCCATTGCACTCCAGCCTGGGCAACAAAAGTCAAGCTCTGTCTCAAAAAAAAAAAAAAAGTTTCATGGCTAGGCACAGTGATTTACACCTGTAATCCCAGCACTTTGGGAGGCCGAGGTGGATGGATCACGAGTCAGGAGTTCAAGACCAGCC